ACTGGACAAAGAAAATGTGATACATATACACCATGGAATGCTATGCAGCCATAAAAAACAATGAGATCATGTCCTTTGTAGGGACTTGGATGAATCTGGAAACCATCATTCTCAGCAAACTGACACAAGAACACCGCATGTTGTCACTCATAGGTGGGTGTTGAACAATGAGAGCACGCGGACTCAGGGAGAGGAGCATCACACACTGGGGGCAGTTGGTGGGGGTAGGGGAGAGGAGACAGTGGGGGATGGGGAGGGTGGGGAACGTGGGGAGGGATAACACGGGGAGAAATGCCAGATATAGTATGCACCCAAAGTAAAATAAATAATTTTTTTTTAAAAATTTAGAAAAGGAACAATAATTGAACCCAAGGTAAGGAGGATGAAGGAAATGCTAAAGGGGAGAGATCCTGAAACAGAAAAAAACAGAGAACCAATAAAATCAAACATGAATTGTGTGGAAATAATTAAATTGATAAGCCTGTATCTACATAAATCACAAAAGGAGCAAAAAATATATTAGCACAAACTTGGTGACTTAACACAAATTTGCAATCTTAGACTTACAGATCAGAAATCCGACAAGGGTCTTCCTAGGCTAAAACTGAGGTTCCGGCAGGGCTGGATTCCTTTCTGGCGGCGCTGGCGCGGATGGATCCACTTGCTTGCTCATTCCCAGAATTGGCAGAATTCAGTCCCTTTCAGGGAAGGGTAGGACTGACTACCGTCACGTTTCCTTGCTGGCTATCAGCTGGGGGCCGTCTCCAACTCCCATAAGCCACCCACAGTCGGGACTCACAGCGCCTTCTTCCATCTCAAAGTCATCAGCAGCGGGTAGAGTCCCTCTCACACCTCGACTCTTCCTTTCCTCTTCGTGGTGTCTCCAGCTCCCTCGTCAGCCTTTTGCTTTTAAGGACTCACGTGATTAGATGGGGCCCACCTGAACAATCCAAGCTACTCTCTCGAGGTCCTTAGCTTCAATCGCATCTGCAAAGTCTCTTTTGCCACATAAGGTAACAGAGTCACAGGTCTGGGGGGTTTGGGGAGCATGGTTGTATTTGGGGAGCCATTATTCTACCTACTGGGGTGAAGACGTACAAGAATATAAAATCCCCATCTTTCAGAGAAGGCAAACAATGTCTACAATAGAAAATTCAACATTGATATGTGTAAGTAGATACCAGAAGACATTTCCAGAAAAGTGCTGAACACTGAGCAGCAGACTGGGGGGTAGGGGACATTGCCTTGCGGTTTTTACATTATAACCCTTGCAGGACACTATGTAATTTTTAACTTGTACTTGTATTCCCTCCCCAGGCTCTGCCGATGGCCACGGGATCTGTGTGGCTCCTGAGTCCTTCCGTTTCTCACCCCCAGCTGTTGTGCATCCTAGATCCTCCACGGGCTTCCTTTTAGCTGTCACGGACCCTTCCCCCAGCTGGTAACCCCACTCAGTACTCCCACAGCACCTCATACATCCCCCATTACCACTCCCCACTGAACTGAATTCATACCAGTCCACCTTCTGGAGAAAGCTTATGTGTCAAATGGAAACAAGCAGTGGCAAGCCAACCAGACACAGTGAGGGCAAGCACCAATGAGTTGCAGTGGGTCATCCACTGGACATCCTAGGAGAGAACCTCCCTCTCTTTCCAGGACTCAAAGCTGAGGGGATATGCGGGCTGGAGCTGCTGCAGCTGTTCTGTGACTCTGAGGTTAGGGCTTGAGGTAGTAGCCAATGTAGAAGAGGATAGAAAAAAAGAAAGAGAGCCGTGCCACGTCCTAGTGCTATCACTGTTGCTAATTACTGTTCCCCTTCATTGCTGTGGCCTCTGTGAGATTTCTGGTCCGAATAACAACAACTTCCCCAAAGCAGTGGTTTTTAGCAGTGGCTGCCCATAAAATTACCCAGAATACATCAACCATGGACTGGATAAAGAAAATATGGTATATATTTACCATGGTATACTATACAGCCATAAAAAGGAATGAGATCATGTCCTTTGCAGGGACATGGATGAAGCTGGAAGCCATCATCCTTAGCAAACTAACACAGGAACAGAAAAACCAAACACCGAATGTTCTCACTCATAAGTGGGAGTTGAACAACGAGAACACATGGACACAGGGAGGGGAACAACACACACTGGGGCCTGTCAGGGGTGGGGCGAGGGGAGGGAGAGCAACAGGACAAATAGCTAATGCATGTGGGGCTTAATACCTAGGTGATGGGTTGATAGGTGCAGCAAACCACCAGGGCACATGTTTACCTATGTGACAAACCTGCACATTCTGCACAAGTGTCCTGGAACTTAAAATAAAATTTTCTAAAAGTCTTCACATTTAAAACCAGAAAAAATTTACACTGGATGCCTTAAAAAAAAAAAAAAAAAA